TTACTGAAGATCATTCCGGTTTTGCTTCTAGATTTCTATTTGCCATGCCCTACTTGCACGGAATATTATCAGACATCGGGAAGAAAATTGATAAGAAATTGAACCCTCCACAAGACGATTGCTTGATAAGGGAAATTTACATAAAACGATTCGAATAAATGAAACGGGGACATCTCTAAGCATTTTTAAATGCAGAGCTGGGCGGTCTGAGATTCGCCATTTTCCCCACGGGAACCCACGAGCTGGGCTTTCTTTCAATTACTGGAAGTTTTCAGACGCCATAGTTTTGTGTCTCAACGAACCGGAAATTGGGAGCTCGCCATTTACAAGTCCTTGTGGGGATTTGTAAGCCTCCATTGTGACTGCAGGAGCCACACAAAATGTCCCAAACTTGGCTCCGTTTTTATGCGGGAATTCTCTTATTATGTCCGTGGAAATGTCGCGACCCCAGAGATTGTTAAAGAATGTTGTTGCTATTTTGGCTTTCATCGTTTGGGTTTATTGCTGTTGATTTGCAGTTGTTGTTTGTGAGACTGCGTTTATTCCGCTCGTGGATTTGTGGGTTGTCGACGGCAAGATTCTGTTATAATCGTCGTCATCACCACCATAGTAGTGGTGGTGGTTGTTGTAGTGGTCAAATAGAATTATCAGAAGATGTTTGAATAGAATGACAGACATAAATAGAGACAGATTAAAGAACATAACGACTAACAATTATGAAGTCAGAGAATTACTTGTTTAGAGAGAACGTACAAAGATAAGTATTAAACAGACAGAAATGTAGAAAGATAAGCGCGCGCACACACACTGACACATGTAAAAATATATTTTTGGAAAAAAACTGACTTACATCCGATGCCATGTTCACAAGTTATTTCTTTCAAGTTGCTAAAGACGTGGACAGTACTCGCTTAATATTTGGCTTAAAGAACATGTTCACACTGTTAAATCACGTGCAATGCATTTTTTGGAATAATTTTTATCTTTCAAAAAAACCTGAAATGAAGGGCCTCACCAACCAAGCATCCAACGAACAAACCAACCATCCAACAAACGAACCAACCATCCATCCAGCAAACGAACTAGCAAACCATCCGAGAAATCAGCCCTGCCTGTTTTCTGTCTGTGCAATAAATACACATGCGTAGAGTGTTTGTCTGTGTACTCATCTATTATTGTATCTCTGTCTCTCTAAATGACCGTCTGTCTGCCAGTCTGCCTGTTTAAACATGCGTCCAAGCATTTTCCCAGCGCCACAATCAAACCACAATCACAGATGAACTGCGATGGTTACTCAATCTACATTTAGATGAAGCCTGCTGATTTTGATCTGGACTGATTTCCTGTCTTATGGGATGAGGGGGCCATGGAAGTTAAATAAAGTCAAGTGATCGTAATACAGACTGGAAAGAAACTGAAACTTCTGTCCCTACACTACCACCATCTGTCCGTACACTACCACCATCTGTCCGTACACTAACACCATCTGTCCCTACACTAACACCATCTGTCCCTACACTGCCACCATCTGTCCGTACACTACCACCATCTGTCCGTACACTACCACCATCTGTCCGTACACTACCACCATCTGTCCGTACACTATCATTATCTGTCCGTACACTACCACCATCTGTCCCTACACTACCACCATCTGTCCATACACTACCACCATCTGTCCCTACACTACCACCATCTGTCCGTACACTACCACCATCTGTCCGTACACTACCACCATCTGTCCGTACACTACCACCATCTGTCCCTACACTACCACCATCTGTCCCTACACTACCACCATCTGTCCGTACACTACCACCATCTGTCCCTACACTACCACCATCTGTCCCTACACTACCACCATCTGTCCCTACACTACCACCATCTGTCCCTACACTACCACCATCTGTCCGTACACTACCACCATCTGTCCGTACACTGCCACCATCTGTCCCTACACTACCACCATCTGTCCCTACACTACCACCATCTGTCCCGTACTACCACCACCATCTGTCCGTCCTACACTACCACCATCTGTCCGTACACTACCACCATCTGTCCCTACACTACCACCATCTGTCCCTACACCACCATCTGTCCCTACACTACCACCATCTGTCCGTACACTACCACCATCTGTCCCTACACTACCACCATCTGTCCGTACACTCCGTCCCACCTACCATCTGTCCGTACACTACACATTATCTGTCCCTACACTACCACCATCTGTCTGTGCCCCCATCTGTCCCTACACTACCACCATCTGTCTGTACACTGCTACCATCTGTCCCTACACTACCACCATCTGTCCGTACACTACCACCATCTGTCACCATACACTGCCACATATCTGTCCTACACTACCACCCCATCTGTCCGTACACTACCACCATCTGTCCCTACACTGCCACCATCTGTACCATACACACACCATACACACCACCATCTGTCTGTACACTACCACCATCTGTCCCTACACTACCATCTGTCCCTACACTACCACCATCTGTCCCTACACTGCCACCATCTGTCCCTACACCCCCACCATCTGTCCGTACACTGCCACCATCTGTCTATACACTGCCACCATCTGTCCCTACACTACCACCATATGTCCGTACACTACCACGATCTGTCTGTACACTGCCACCATCTGTCAGTACACTACCACCATATGTCCCTACACTGCCACCATCTGTCCCTACACTACCACCATCTGTCCCTACACTACCACCATCTGTCCCTACACTACCACCATCTGTCCCTACACTACCACCATCTGTCCCTACACTACCACCAT